AGAAGGTGTCCTACCAACCTATCTCGCCTATTTTTTATTGACTTCCATAGAGTCCTCTGTTCTCCTATTCTTTCCAATACCTCTTCATTTCTAACCTTTTCTACCCACGATAACTATATGTTCGGCCTTTTTTTTTTTCTAGGAAATTGTGTTCACTGAACCATTAACTCGTCGATAAGTAAACGATAAACTGAACTGATACTGTTCTAATTCGGGTTTAAAGGCCGTCGTGTGTTAAAGTTGCTTCCTAAAGTTTCGCTAGCGCGAGTGGCGAACTTCTTCAGAGGTCCTTCCATCTCCGATGCACCTCCAACAAACAACGGCCCTTAGACCCGAATCAGAACAGTATCAGTTCACCTACTGACTTAGAAAGTCTTTACCAATTTGTCAAACGATAAACTGTTGGGTTCCTTGGCTTTTTTCATGGTTCGATAAAAAATACATACGGTGACGAATATTAAAAATGTTGTTGTATGTTTTATTTTCAAAATATTTAATATTTTTATTTATTTATTGTGGGATATCCCTTGAAGCTTATGTTTTTTTAATTTCAGAAGTCCAAAAGAATATTAACTCGGTAGTACAGGAAACCGAAAGTGATAACATGTTAAATGTATTGGAAAGCAATTCAACATTACAAAACGAATTCCCGTTAGAGATGAGTAATCAAATATTAGGGTCTTCAACAGATCAAATAACGAATATTGATAAACAAGGTACTGATAAGTAAGTATGCATACATAACATCTAAATCTGTGAAATAGCCTATTGCTAGTTCATGAAGAAAACTTTAAAACAACTAATCAACACCACGTAACGTTTAAAATATCTACTTTGTGTGTCTGATCAGTTCTAAGAATAATTAGGGTAACATTATCGCTCAGTTAAATTTAAACTTGTTAAATTGTTGTTAAACTTGTTAAATTTAAATTTAAACTCTCCTCCATATTGATAAACAAACAAATTTGGAGAAAGGTAGTTCAATTAAACAAATATAACAGCTTAACTTGAACTATACACGGTGTTTGTGAAATAAGTGGAAAGTTTTGGGAGAAAGGTAGTTCAATTAAACGAACATAATAACTGAACTTAAACTATACAAGGTGTTTATGAGATAAGCGGAAAGCTTTAGAGGTTGTTAACTAGATTCAATAGGGAATTGCATGGTGAAGTGGTAAAGTAGGGTGGTTAAGGACAGGAAAATTTGTAAATAACCAAAAAAAAGTTATAAACCGTAGTCAATCGTGAATTGCCAACGTACTGCAAAATTACGATGACAACTAAGCAACAACATGGATGGAGAATGTAAATAGTGGCGGTTGTGGAACAATTAGTAAAATAACCACTTACATAACAATGTTTAGACACTCATTCCGGTAAACAAAAAGTAATTAAATTATAATATTGTTTATTGCTGATAGTATGCAGCAATACTTAAAGTGCACTTCAATGTGGTATTAAAAACAGGAAATTAATGTTACGTAAACATTTATAGGTATGAGGGAAATCTCACTTTTTTTTTTTAAATGAAAACTGAAAAATTTTTAAAATGGTTTATTTTGAATAATACCTTATTTTTTTACATAATTTTTAATTTCAATACATTTCTGCTATCGTGATAATATTTCTTTTATTCCGGTGTCTTCACTTCTTGTTTCAAGCTCTTTTCATTTGCGAAGCATCTTCCCCCAAAATGTTTAGCTGTGGAAAAAGTGAAGGTCGCTTGGTTAGGTTAGGTTTGCTGGTGCGTAACTGACGAAGTGGTCAAGGAGAATGCGTAGAGATTTTACAGCACTGCCTCTACACGTAACTTCATGCCTACCTACTTCGAAAAAAGTGTAACTTACTTTTGAGGGAACCCTTGTATTTTACTATCCTTCGTCATTTTATTAATTGTAAGGTAAATTTTTAAACCATCATTTGGGAATTACCAAGGTGAAGATCTTTTCTTCATAAGTGGTTCGTCAATGGCTTTATACTCCCATTAGAAAAAAGTAATTGCAACATTAGTAAACACACACACATATGTATGTACATTATAAAACTTTTTCAAATTTCAAACCCGTGCCAAAGGACAGGTTCACAGACTCTTGCGGCGATTATTACATGGTTGTGCAAATCATTAACATTTTGCAGTGGCGTTTGATACACGCTCTGTTTCATACAACCCCATTTAAAGAAGTAAAGCGAATTCCGGACTTATCGCTGGCTGAAGTACATAACATAACCCGCACATTCAATCTATCGTCTAGGAAACTGTTCGTTTGGAAACTCATGCAGTGGTCTTTCAATGTGAGGGGATGCACCAACATGCTAAAAAAACATACGTCCATGCACTTGCGGAGGTATATCTTCAAATACATTCGGTAGAGTTTTTTTGTTGAAAAGTCCAATTCGTCACCCTATTTAAACGCGCAAATCTCCAAAAATTCCATACCACACAATTACCGAAAACCATTGTCGAAATCGCGAAGGATGCACGACATGCGGATTTGTGTCCTATCAATAGTGAATATTGTGGAAATACAAAATCCCATCACTCGTGAAGCAACTGCAAATTGCCAAAACTGCTGATACGACACAAATCTAGTGACCTTGAACAAAACCAACTTGAAGTTTCTTACATGGTCGGAATGAAACTAATCCAATATTTACAAGCTTTTTTACAACAATATGTGCTTCCTGATTTTGTGTCGTGGATGCTTCGTCCATGACGACTAAGAAATATCAGTTATCGGAGTCTCATTGGGAATGATCCTGCTATGTCGATTGAAATTCTCTCAAAAAATGGTACCACATTGTACTACTGCATTCGTCTACGACTTCTCGTCTTCGGTCCCTTACTAGATGCGCATATCGGGCATTTCTTACACCAGTCTTTTACGTGACTTCTACTTCGTAGCTGATAACGCCGCTCGCAAACCTTCTCCAGTGCCTTTGTAACACCAAAATGCTCTTAACCATAGATCGATTCTAAGATTTCTAAAACTCTGTTTTTCGAAAATACCAATTGAAGCTTGTTTCCATCCGGTCTCTCCCACATTCTTTTTAAAATGCATCGATCGAAAGTAAGGAAACTCCACTGTGCCCAATAACCTTTTGTTATCTGCTGTAGAGTCTCATCTGCCCACAATGGTCTTGAGGATCTAGCTTCTTTTCATCTCATTATTGGGTCAATAGCTTCATTCTTCCACTAGTCTTCAATTACCGTGTTATTTACCTGGACTAAGCTCGATATCGAACTCGCATTATTATTGTCGTTGTAACCAAAGAGCAATATGTTGTGTGTTTTTGAATTGTAATAACCACTTCAGCGAGGCGTGATCTGTTCTTAAGAGGAACTTATGTCCGCACAGGTATTTATGAAATTTCCTATTTCGAGAGTATTCTACTAAACTATGCAATAAGTCTTTCCTTTCCGTCTTGCACATGGGATAACACACCAAGTTTCAGATTACTAGCGTAGGCATCAGCGATAAAGAGCTCACTGAACTGTGGATATGTCAAAACACTTTAGTGTAAAAGTTTTCAAATGCTTTTTGGAATTCGGGTGTTCATTGGAATGAAATACCATGTTTTTTTTGTCGATATAGTGGTCGAGCTACCTCGGAAAATCCTCGTATGAGTATTCTAAAGTAAGAGCAAAGTCCCAGAAAACTTAAGTTCGCACCGATCCTTTGGTTAGGCCAACTTCATACTGTATCCGTTTTGTTACTATGTATTGACATTTGTTGGGACTTACCTTTAATGTTGTGATGTTAATTTCATGAAGACCTCAATCACTTTTCGAAGGCGATCTTCAAAGATTTTTCCCAGTATGATGATTTCGTCTAGGTAAACTAAGCATTTTAAAATTTAATCCTTATAACCCAGTGTTCCTCAATCTTTCGAATATAGTAAGTGCATTGCACAATCCAAAAGCCATCACATTCAAGTACTATCGACCATTTCCAGTCCTAAATAAACTCTTTTAATCCTGCATAATATGGAGGTATCTGCGAGGATCCACTTTTCAAATCGAGAATAGGGAACCATTTAACTCCACTTAGACGGTCTAGTGTGTTGACGATTCAAGGTAATGGGTCTTTGCTTATATCGTTCAATTGCCTGTAGTCTATACAAAATCTTACGGAACAATCTTTATTTTGTACTAGCACTAAGGAGCACCCTTGTTAATGCAATGTCGTTCACTTCCTTCTGCTTCACTCAGAAACTTTTCTATGTGATTCCTTGATGGACTGTTCTAGTTCTTCTCCCCAATCGTAGTTATTGAAATTGACAATTTTAAAAAGCACTAATGATGCTGCTGTTCTTATGACCGTACGTCCCACTAATCAATCCATTCCTGTCGTCTGCAATGCTACTCTACTCTTATAGTGTCCGTGGACTGACTCAGGAGTACTCAGTCTTTCAGTCCAATCATGGATACTAGAGGAGGCGGAAAAAACTTACGACAGAGACCTAGAGATAGAATGAAAGTATTTTAAAACGTGTACAGATTCCGCAGTTATGGATATATTGGACTTTAAACAGAATGAGATTAGAAATCTCTGAGTAAAAAAAAAGAGCGTAGGATTAATAGAGAAAGAGCATAAACATAAGATCATTAGGTGAAGGGCAAGAATAGTATAAGGCTATAAAACCGGAAATCATTTGGAGATGTATTAAAAAAACAAAACAGCGTGGAGCTATATGAATTAAACTACTTCATTTTGAGAGATCAGTTTGAGTTATCATTAAAAATGTAAGGAATAGTTAGGTACTAAGAAGTATTAAGGCATGCAGGTCAAAAGGTTATATATCGTTTGTTTAAACTTGTTAATCAGTTTACAAGACGGGATAATACCGAATGATAGAAAACGAAATAAGATTGTGGCTATATTAAAAAAGAGAAGCGCGCATAGTTGCGAGAATTTTAGAACAGTTAACTTAACTATTTATAATTCATAAATCTTAACTATAATCGTACAGAGGAGAATGGAAAATAGGTCGAAAGGAAAATGAAGTCTTCAGAAAAATTGTGAAGTAGTTGATGGATGAAAGAAGAACATCCCAAGGTTACGATTTCGCGGAGTATAAAGTTTTCAAGGTCTCATACGTAGCTACAGTGGATTTATCCGCAAGTTTCTTTACATTGTTTAAAAACTTGCAATCATGAATAAACAGCACACCTAAATATTCGTATTGAGATCTTGTTTTTATTTGATCGTCACCGCATTTGAAAGATGTAAAATTAGAATATCGCAAACCCTTTCTCTTTTACTTTTGAAACTGTACGATTTGAGTTTTAGATGTATTCATTTCTAGATGGTTTAGTGTACAATATTTCCAAGCGCACAGAGATGTCGGTTAAGTTCGAGAGGGGTGTCTGATAGAAGGACAATATCGTCCGCGTATGCGAGCAATAGTACCTCATTTCTCGCATCAATTGAAATTTCTCTACAACCTTCATTACGCAAAAATTGTTCGAGATCATATAAAAAAAGAGAAAAAAGAATAGGGCTCAAAATTTCGCCTTATAGCACGCCTCTTGTGATCCTATTAAAGACAGAACTACTTTAGGGTTAGACATATAGGGACAAAGGATTAGCGTATACGCTTAGATTTCCGGATGATATAGCAGTATTAGCATGTAACAAGATGAGTTAGAGTTAACTTTAAACAAAATGGAAGCAGTATTGATGGAATGGTGTGATTTTAAAAATACTGTAGTTAGAAAATGTTAGAAATGAAGAGGTATTAGAAAGATTAGGAGAATAAAGGAAATAGGCAAGATATATCGGTAGTCACCTTCTCAGAAATTAAGAGCTAGGCAGAGACATATTAGAAGTAGAAACAGTAGTTAAAAGGGATAGAGGTAGGCCTATACTAGTTTATTGTTCGTAAATAGTTAATGATGTAGGTTGCACGAGTTTTTGAGAGATTCGAAGATTGGCTCAAGATAGAAAGAGATGGAGGTGTATGTCCAACCAGTCTTCGGGCTGAAGACCTTGTGATCATGATGATGATCTCACTCAACATCGTTTCTATCCAACCCCTTTCTTTTTAACTTTGGGTGATTTTCGGAAAGATTACGCAACGAGTGTTTCTTATTAGAACCCATAACCTATTAAATAAAGAATTATATCTGAAGAAAGTTGGTTAAATTAGACGAACACAACAACTTAACCTTAACTGTAATTGAAATGACTAAAAAACAACTACTGAAAACGGCACATACAGCTAATCGAAAACATATTAAATTAGCCTTTTTGAACGGATATTTTCTACGCATAAATATAATATGTTAACGTTTAACATCATAATTTGAACAGCGTATTTCTTTGTTTGACGAATCTATGGTGTAGCGAGACAATTGTAGTGAAAGTTAATAAATTTCGTTGAAATTCATCGCTTAGCTTTTTATTTATAATTTATAAATTGGTGTTTCAAAAATTAAGTACCTAAACAAAGAAGATTACAGATAGGAGCAAAAACATAACCCGAAATGAATGGGTGTCTGAAAAACGTCATGAGTTAAATATGTCAAATAAGATGCACACTGCCTTATCGCTCAGAAGCTTGTCAAACAACTTGGTGACACAAATACAATTGGCGTCTTTACCAATACATTACTAATACCACCTAGACTATAAAGGCCACGGTGGCTCTGGCATGGTGTCATCAGAAGAAGGCGAGCAGTACAAACTTAAGTGGCGTTCCATCAATGCAAATGCTTTTTGAAGCTTGTTGACGTCAGAGAGCCTTGGCCTTGATAGTCTAAATTGTATTTATTGAATTTCCCATCTCTGCGAAGTTTCCATTACTATCACTAATCTTCTTAATCATCTCAACTCTCAAGCATGATAATTTGTAAATTGTATTTTAATAGGATCACACTTACTACTGAAGACGAAGTATCGAAATCTTTAGCAGACGGTAATTACTTAAATAAAACAAATTGTTCAGGAACTCCTGTAGTTAAAGAAAAAGATAATAAGAAAAATGCGATCAAAAGAGGTCATAGAGGTAAAATGAAGAAAATTTCTGAAAAATACAAAGATCAGGACGAAGAAGAACGTATGCTACGTATGGATATTTTAAAGGTAAATTTTATTTACAGTTTAAAATTATGATAAATTAACAAATTGATTGTTTCTATTGCATTAAGAAAGATATAATGTATACGAAATTAACAAACAATTATTTTTGTATCATATAAGTCAGCAGGAAACATTAAGGAAACTAAGAAGAGCAAAAAAGATAAATTATTAAAGAATGTCCTCAAACAAAGTTCACCTCATAAATCTTTACCCTCAAACATACCCAAAGAAAAAAATGTACGTGTTTTTGATGAAGACTTTACTGTTCAAGACAACGTAGATGCTATAAACACACTCACTGGAAAACCTTTCTTGGATGATGAGCTGTTGTTCGCTGTTCCAGTCGTGGCTCCGTACAACAGTTTAAACGGTTATAAGTAAGTGTTTTATTACAAAATCTTTAATATTTTAATAAATGCCTTTACTTTTAATGTTTCATCTAAAAATGTAAATATTTTTTATAACAATGAAAATGAATGTGAGCTTTATAAAAATCTTTTTAAGAACGCTTGAAATACTTGAAATATCCACTAGATGGCGATAAACTACCTAAATTTGAATAATATTTTTGTTTAAGATTTAAAATAAAAATTACGCCAGGGAATACAAAGCGTGGAAAAGCTTTAAAAACTGCAATTAGCATGTTTCTGAACGATAAACTGATTTCAAACCATGAAAAGAATTTACTCCATGTCGTAAAAGAAGAACAAATAATTCAAAATTTTCCAGGAAAGTTAAAGCTTTCAAGTCCAGGATTAAGTACTAATAAAAAGTGAAAGTACCTATAATATTGTCTTGTGGCTGCTAATAAAGAATTTGTCAAATTACAAGTATTGGTTTTTATATTGTTTGTTATTAATAGTCATAACGGGGAAGAATAGAAGGCGCTACACCTATGATCTATTTACACTTAAATTCCGTTTGAGGTTAAACCGATTAAGCAATTTATTTATTAAGGAATCTAATTCGTACTTCTCTGCCTGTGCAATGTATTGCACATGGAAATTAGACCAGCTTATATCAGAATTGAAGAAGAGACGTGCGACATGTAGAGACAGAAAGACCTTGCAAAAAGGCTACTACAACCACCTCAATGTGTTTAATTTTTTATGAAACCTTTTGAATGGTTTTCTGTTAAAAGTCACAGTAATAATAGGTATTGTAAATGTATTTGTATTCCTTCTATTTCAATGTTAATTGTGGGCTTTCACGACCGGCGTTGAAATAGGTGAGTTGTTGTCCGGGCTGATGGGCCGTGAACTGTTTGGTTGTTTTTCCTACGTTTTATGCACATTTTCAAGGATGATGTCGAAATCTTTGTTGCCGAACGGCGACAAGTGCGCTCGATGGACTTTTTATTTTTTAGATTATTCTCAAGGAGGGAAATCATCAAAAGACACCTCCTGAAGGGAGATAGTGTCGGATTTTTACTGACTAAAACCCCTCCTCAAGTGGGAAGGTTAACCCGAAGGTTGCTCATCCCCGGGAAGGAAATGGAAAGGTTGGGAGTGGGAAAAGAATTGGGTTGGGAAAAAGATTAAGAATGGCGGGGAAGGCAGTACTTGAGGAGGGAAACCGTCGAAGTAAGTGTCCACTTCGATGGGTGAACACTCGTGCTAAAAAGCCAAGCTAGAAGTGAGCTCATTGTAGCAGGTTACAGGGCCTTCGGATACGGTCTTGTTTCGAGGCGAAGTTGGAGAGTGTCGAAATGGTGGGGTTTGCGTGGCCTGACACTGAGGCCTGAAGGTTAGCCGCGAATGAGCCTCAGGGAGAAAAGGTAAACTGATTTCTTTCAGAATTTGGCTGTTTCTGACGAACCAGGAATAGTTTAGTGCGGAACGAAGGATCCGCATGTAGGTGCCTTGCAGAAGCTTCAGACGGTGAGAAGGCCGCAGCATCAGATGGGAATGGCATAGGTTTTTTTTTGTTGGGAGATGAAGTTATCACGGAAGAAAGGCTTGAGTATCATAATTGTACTCATGGCCTTGTTGCGAGTGGCTGAGATGTGGCGCTGCCAATTTAAAGCTCTGTCGAAGACGACACCTAGATATGGGACAGAGTTGCTCCATTTGATGTGGCCGGTGTGGTGATGCCTGCGGAAACCGTGTTGATGATTGGAGAGAATGTTGTTTTGCTCCGCGTGGTCTAAGAGGAGGCTGATGGGCCTGTAGCTTGAGGGAGAGCTGAGGGGGTTTCCTTTTATTGGGGAGACAGATTACAGTGACTTCTTTCGATACTAAAGAGAAAAGTATGTGGAGCCGTTCTGTTTCAGTGGAGGAAATTGGGCAGCTCTGTTTCGAAGAAAGCAGATCACCTTCCAAGTGCTTAGGGGGTGTGTTTCTGCCTGAGCGATATACTCGTCGATGGATGCGCTGCGAGATTCACTGAGGCGAGAAGGGCGTTTCCTTCGGCCCGTTGTGCGGGGACACGGTGTCTTTACCACAGACGTCGGGTCTTGTTTTTCCTCTTAAGGTGGTGAAGAAAGTCTGCGGGGAGAGTATTGAGTTGGGAGGACGAGAGGTGGGAGATAGTGGAGTGCTCGACGGCGCTGGTAATCTCGTTTGAGAGGAGATTTACAGTTTCATCGAGTTCCTCTATTGTGCGAATTTGAGTGCACTTAAAAGAAGGGTGTAGCGCAAATGTAGCCAGTCTACCGAGAATGTTGGCTTTGGGGGGATTGTAAGTTGGGCGGCCGATTTCAATTAGTTCAATTCTGAGTACTGAACTGAGTTCGTTAAGAACAGTAGGGTCGGCGGAGAAATTAACGTTCCTTGTGAGGAATAGGTCTAGGGTATCTGTGAGGTGATAATGACAATCCGGGATGTGCGTGGGACCTGGTGTGGTTTCAATTGTGAAATCGAAGTCAAGAGAGTTGGCAAGAAGGAAAATGTCTTTTTTATTATTATATCGGCAGTCCCAGGAGATGTGTTTGGAATTGAGATCGCCTGCGACGATGGTCGAGTCGTTTGGTGGGAGTAGAAGGGGGAGGTTTGAAAGAACCTCTTCGTTCCTGGGGTAGTATAACGAGATAATTCTGACGGGAGCCGAAGTTGAAATGATTTCGACGTCAACTGCTTCTCTAAAGACTCGGTAGATAAAAAGAGAGAGGCTTGTGTTTAATAGAAATACTAACGAGAATGGCTACGCCGCCACCGCTGGAGTTTTCACGATCCCTTCTGTAGGCTGTTAAGTTTGGGACATAAAGATTAATTTGGTCGGATAAGTAAGTTTCGGTGGCGCAGGTAACACCGCTTGACTTTTCCTCGAGGAAGAGTCCGAGTTCAATCAATTTACCTGTAATGCCATGTGCATTCCAGGTAACTAATCGAAGACTGTTTACGTGGGCTGTATTAGACATTGGTGGATGGTTTGAGGACGGCGACTAAACTGGCTACCATTGTCTAGACGATAACCTGTATTTTATCCTGAAGTGACGGAGTTGCACCTGATTTTGTGGCGGTGTTTGGGGTTGGGCTCGGAGAATGGGCAGTTGGTTGGGCACTCTTTGCAACAACCGAGGTGGTGATGGCCTTTTTTAGGGCGTTGGTTCTGCGCGGAACCTTAGGGCAACCGCGATAAATGGTGCAGTGACTTTGCAGTTAGCGCAGAAAGGAGTGGCGTCTTTTTTGTCTTTTGCTTTGCGTTCGGCTAAGACATGATTGCGGCCGCAGAAGGCATAGATCCAGGCTGCGCGGCAATAGTTGGCCGTGTGAAAGAATTTCAAGCAACGGCGGCATTTGAGGACGTCTTTGTTGGTTCTTTTAGGCTCAACTTTAACGTTGAGCCCACAGATCTTGCCAAGTTCGAAAATTGATTTGGACTTTTTGTCAGACCTGTCAAGGCGAACGAACACTAGTGGCCACACTTTGCCACCGTTGGACATACGGTGGATACCACCAATAGCGAAACTTTTATGAGATAGTTCGGACTGTATGTCGAACGTGAAGATGGATTCACAGACTCCGCAAAGGTCGATGTGAAGGTCCCTCTTTTGGCGGAGCTGCTTGGTTAAAAAGTCGACGTTTCGATGAAAATTGTTATTGTAGAATGGTGCCCACATAACCTTAAATATGCTTGCGATTTGGCTAATTTTGATCGGCTTTATATTCCGGCGCCGTACACTTTGTCATTTTTGTTAAATTTGATAAAACCCGGAAATTTAGTCTGTTTCTTTTGCACTTACGAGATTTACATTAAGCTATCCTGTTGACAAGTTAAACCTGAGGATCTTAGTAATAGCGACACTTACCTAGGAGGAGAAAATGGTAAAAATCTCCAATAAAAAGAGAAAAACAAGTTACTGGAAGGTTTAGTAGTTGTCTTTGTATGACAATCCTTTATTGACGTTATTTTATAGTAAGGGCAATTAAAAAGTAATTGCTGCTTGTTATTATTTACAACAGTGTTGGCAGTTGTGTTTTAGAAATAGTCCATCTTGGACTTCCCAGAGTCGCCAGACATTACTTATTTCCTCAGCAACAAAGTTGGTGGGATAAAAAAGGGGTAATATATATTCTGAACGAATGCATACCTGCTAACTTGGACCGACGGCCAATTTTCGGATTGAGTGCTGATTTTTACATAATGTTTCACAGAATATTATTAAAAATTAATTATCAACACTGCCAGACGGCGGTTATTTCTGCCAGATGTTTCAAAGTTCACAAAAACAAATCGTAATTTTACTTATAG